AGAACCTGATGGCAGAGTGGCTATTTGTGCTTGCTTTTGACAGGATTTGTTACGGCCCACCAGGTTTCTCCACTCTGTTGACAAACTCAATATCATTATACAGTGTGATTACTGTGTACGCTGTCCACAACCTCTGAGCTGCATCTTCACCAACAAAATGTCATAATAAGCCAACCAGAAGTACTGATTTTTTTCAGAGACATTTAAAATAGTCTTTTGCTCAGGGTTCTTTCCCCCAAATCTTTATGAATAAGATTCCTTCCTCCTCACATAAAAATAATTTTCAAGTAAATCATTATGACTTGCCATGAGAATCTGCTTTTGTGAGCTTTGAAATTAAGAAAAATATAGTTTTCTAAAATTCCTGTAGAGGTTGCATTTGACAGTTGTTGGATAGTTTCATGAAATAAAAACATACTAGATAAGGGCCACTAAACTTCAAGAATGTAAGTTTTCATCTAAAACCTTAATAAAGAACAGGGTGGGGAGAAGGCTCAGTAGGTAAAAATCTTGTCATGAAAGCTTGAGGACCCAAGTTCCAATCCTTAACAACCACATTCAAAACAAAACAAAAGAAAACTGGGCATGGTAGCACATGTCTAGATCCCAGAGCTATAGCGGTGATGACAGAAAGATCCCTGAGGCTTGCTGGCCAGCTAGCCTAGATGAATCAGTGAGCTCCAGGTTCAATTAGAGAACCTGTGTCAAAAAGTAAGGTGGCCAGGCATGGTGTCATACATCTTTAATCCCAAGATTCAGGAGGCAGAGGCAAGGGGGATCTCCATGAGTTCAAGACTACCCTGGTCTACATATCAACTTCTGGGCCATACCCACAGATACATAGTTAGACTATGTTTCAAAAAAGATAATAAAAAATGAGGAAAACATTGAAAGAAGCACCTGAAGTTCATCTGTGGCCTCCTCCACAAACAAATATGCCTGTACACATGCACAAGTAATAATAAAATCAAACAATCCAAGCAAATAATGCAAGTTTGGGGTATATTGTAACGTCGAGTCCCCCATTTGTGCAAGTGTGTCACAGTAGGAAAGGTAATCCAAAAGTAAACAAAGCTTGGTTAGGGAACACCAGAGCAAAATATGTAAGGAAAGGCCTGGAAGAAAGAATATTTTAGGAGCCAAAGACAGTTCAGCAGTTAAAAGCACTTCATGCTATTGCAGAGGACACAAATTCATTTCCCAGCTCCCACATGGCAACTCACAACTATCTGTAACTCCAATATTCCAATTCCAGGGGATTCAATGCTTTCTTTGGGCTACACAGCCTCTAGACTTACATGTAGTACACATATATACATGCAGGCAAACACTAATGCAAATAAAAATAAATCTTTAGAAAGTATTTTTTGCTAGAACAATAACTGTCCATGTACCTAATACTAACACATGGTCACAAAAATAAAATGTTGTAATTTTCTCTTTATGTTCAATATTTCAAACATTTCTAATTTACATTTGCTGATTATTTTGTTGTTATTATTGGGTTTTTGTTTGTTTATTTGAGACAAGGTCTCTCTATAGAGTCTTGGTTGTCCTGAAGCTAACTACATAGACCAGGCTAGCCTTGAACTCTGTCTGGCCTGCTTCTGTCTTGTGAGTGCTAGAATTAAAGGTGTGCACCACTACACCTGGCCTTGCCAATTTTTAAATACTTTTTTACATTTGAAAAAATGATCCCCAGTAGTCTAAAACTGCTTGTCCCTTCACAAAATAAAATGTCCCATTTTTACCCTTGAAGCCTGTGAAACCTTCTTTAAATTTTATTTATTTATTTTTGGATTTTTCGAGACAGGGTTTCTCTGTGTAGCCCTGGCTGTCCTGGAACTCACTCTGTAGGCCAGGCTGGCCTCAAACTCACAGAGATCTGCCTGCCTCTGCCTCCCAAGTGCTGGGATTAAAGGCATGTGCCACCACTGCCTGACCCTTTTTTATTTTTAATGTATCTTTGTATTTCTTAAAATAATTACTGTACAATCATTAATATTGGCCATAGAATAGATAGTGTAGGAGCTGAGATGCAGAGTAATGGGGCTGCTCACTCTCAGAATAAAAGGAAATGGGCTGATTCTGGTTATAATCTGGGTGCCTGATTCCCAATCCAGGTTTCTAGTCTTGGTTTTATTTTTCCCTACAAGGTTCTAACTGCCTGGTGAGTATCATCATGTAGATGTCACAACAGTTCTTTGAAGGTGTAATGCCTCCCAACACACCACAGCAACAAACTTCATGTTCTGTCCTCCATTCTTGGGCTTTACAAAGATAGGTATTCACCAACTACTTCTTGGCAGTCAGTGCTGATTTTTTTCAAGCCTGCATACACCCCAATTTCCTTTTTAAATCACTATGGAGGAATTAATTAGGCCTAAATAAGTAGTTAGTAAGCAAAAATCTTATTCAACATGGGAAGAAGTCATAAGACATAACAATAAGAAAGTAGTAAGTAGGAAATGTATGTGTTAAATATAGAAAGGAAGGGTGGAAAGACTAAAACAATGAACTTTCAGTAAATATTAAATATATATGAGGCACCTGGGCTCTAAATATTCATGTATACTAAATATACAAGTCACTAAATATTCATGAGTACTCAATATTCATGAGACCTTAATTTGGCCACTCATTCATTGGTGACACCCATTTTGGCCCCAAGTGCACTCTGCCCAAGAAACACAAAACCTATTACTATTCAGTAGGACTACTGGCAAACTCATGCTGTGGCCAAACATACACATCCTCATATTGATCCATCTGAGTAAGTGTGAACCTTTGGCCCAAAGCTCCTCCTGTCTGTAATTCTCCTTCTTTAACCTTCAATATTGGTCTGTAAACCACACTACTTGCTAGCAAGGCTCATAGAGTGGAGGTGTGGGGGTACTGTGTGCCCCAGGGCTCAGACAGAGTACACTTTTCTTCAATTTACACTTGGTTCAAAGTGTCTTTCCCCCTGCTACTCACTGCATTTTTCCCCAATGTCAGTATGTTTGGTTAGTTGGTTTGATTTTGCAGTGTGGTAGATGGAACCCAGGGCCTTGCATGTGCTGGGCTACATTCCCAGCCCTCAAAATGCATTTTAAATTATTTTAATGTATTATGTGATTCACTCATTTTAATTTGGCCCATGATCCTTTTCTTTGTTGGTCTATGGGAGAGTCTGTCTACATACTTCTTGGAGGCCAGCACTACTTCAAGGTACTATCTAAGCTGCCACATAAAGAACAGCTAATGAGTGAAATGGAAATTATAGACAGGGAGTCCATGGTAAACCACTGTCCCATTACCATAATCAAACAATGAGAACAGCATTAAGTTTGAGTAACAGCAAAGAGAAAAGACATGGATGTGTGTTTTGCTGAAAATCAAGAACAGGATACTAGGTTAAGTATGAGGAAATGGGGAAAGGAAAAATGATAGAGATTGTAGTCAGAGAGGGAAGTTTCAAAGTCTGAAATATTGCAGGTGGCAATACTCCAAAAACAACTCTCTCTCTTCTCTCTCTCTCTCTCTCTCTCTCTCTCTCTCTCTCTCTCTCTCTCTCTCTCTCTCTCACTCTCCCCCTCCCTCCCTCCCTGCCTCCCTCCCTCCCTCCCTCTCATAGTCAAAAATCATGGCTCTTTGGAGAATAAGAGACACTAGGAAGTCACCAAGACCAAACACTCAACTCCCCTTCTATATTCCTACTGTGCTCTTAGTGAAAAGCAACATCTAAATAATGCATTCACTTAGATATCAAAGACATTTATCAAGAACACTTGAGTCTTCCTATTACAAACATCCCTTTATACTGTTCTGTCTTACACTTGAAAAATTGTCGGTCCTGTCCCTGTCCTGCTTGCTACCCCTTGACAGCATCTTCATTCCAGAGAAAGAACCATAGCACTAAAAGAAATATCACCTCCTTTGATCTCTAATATCAGCTTCTCTGTGGCCACAGGGTTAACTCTCATCTACAACAGAAGTAGGATACAGATAAAGACTACAGGCATGCATAGAGTGAAGGAACAGGGCTCTGTTGAGATACCATAGTAGTTAATCTTGTCCATTTGATTGGACTCAGAAATACCAGGAAACTAGAAAAACATATCATGGTTATATCTGTGAGGGCATTTCCAGAATTATTAGATTAGGACAGTTCTGACCTAATAAATAGGATAAATGAGACTATAATGAAGGAATTAACCCATTAATGGATTCAAAACTTGAGTAGATCATTTTGGAGGTTGTAGAACTGTAGCAAGTGGGGTCTAATTGAAGGAAGTAGGTCATGGGCACATCATTGGCAGTCTTAGCTTTTCCTGGCCTCTGCTAGTTTTATACTCTGCTGGCTGATTATCATAATGTCAGTTGCTCCACTATGCTCCCTGCTCCCTGCCCCTCAATGCTGAGCTAAAACAATGAGCAATTCTGGTACATCCTCCCTTAAGTTGTTTCTATCAGAAATTGTTCACAGCAATGCTAAAACTAACTACCACAGTTAAACAAATATCAAGGTCATGATAATTACCATAAATAGTGTTAGTAATCTATAGATAAGGAGAGTCAGGATGACACAAATGGTAGGCAGCAAATTCAAGAATGAAGAAACAATAGCACCCTGAAATTTACAGGGAAGAAACACTTTCTTTCTTCCCAAGAAAGGAGAAGTAAGAGCATCCTGGATGATGTAATGAAGTGATGAAATAATGCCAAAGAAACCAAAAGGTTTGATGACATGTTCACAGACACACAGGAGTTTGCTATATTAGCATACTACAGGCAGAGGAGAAAAATGGCCTATGTTGAGTTATAAGTAAGTTATAGGTAAGAGAAATATGATACATTATTATCAAGAACTACAGGTTAACATCATGTTTATATTCATTACTGTGTATAACTGAGATGCCCAAGTATTAGCATTGGGGCCTTTCAAAAAGCTAAAGACAAACAATATATAAGGCATGAATTAGAAGCAAAAGAATCATAATGCTGTTTTAAATAGATACCTTGAGGCAGTCCGCTATTTATCATTTCTGGTTCATTTACTTGAATGGTGTCATCTTCAGGGTAGAAATAGATTTTATAGTATCTTATTCTATACTTTTCTTGCCTTTTATCAGGCACTTCATCTTCCACATAGGCATCAAAAGATAATACCTGTTGAAATCATAATTAGAAACTGTGAAAAAGAATCAGCAAACTTAAAATCAATATAACTATGCCCTGTATAATCTTCGTTTAAAAAAAAAAGGTGATTTTTCCTAAGACACTCTATGCATCAGCTAAGAGAACAGATATACAATCTAGGTAATAGTATATAAAGATAATTTGACTTTCACCACCCTCTGGTTACAACAGAGAAACTATATTAAAGTAATAAGCCCATCTTTCTGATCTACAATAAGTAAACATTTGCCAATCTTTAGAATCTCAAAATAGGATTCAAAATGTGTGTCAGAGGCATGAAATACTTTTTCTTTCATGACAACAAAATCTATTTATTTTTCCCATTAAAAATAGCACAAAGCTACCTTAGTTCTGGGATGAAATTATCCTCTTAGTCTTACTGATGGCTTGCCTTGATATAGCTCAAAAAAGGCAGACCTGGGGCAGGTGGTGGTGGCGCACACCTTTAATCCCAGGACCCAGGAGGCAGAGCCAGGCAGATCTCTGTGAGTTCAAGGCCACTGTGGTCTACAGAGTGAGATCCAGGTCAGGCACCAAAACTACACAGAGAAACCTTGTCTTGAAAAACCAAAAAGAACAAAAAAGAAAGAAAAAAGAAGAAGAAAGGCATATCTGGAAGCTTTCTAAAAGCATGCATACTCCACCTACTATTTCTCCAGGAAGCAAAATAATCTAGCTCCAACATGGCAATGTGCATGGAGAATGGAATGGATTCTAAAGTAGTTAGGGTAAAGATAGTAAAAAAAAAAAAAATTGAGGGGAAGAGGAAGGCTGAGTCAGGAGATGCCAGTATGCCATCCAAGGAACAGTATGTAATGGTACACAGCCTGCCATTATTCCTGGGAATGATACTTAAAGTAACATATTAAAGAAAAAAAGACTTCAGAGAATCCAGTGTTCTTATCCATCTGAATTTTCAAGTGAAGATGAAAGGGGTCTGATCAGAGAAACTTGATCCTGCCCTGGACATCCCAGTTGGATAAGAGATGAGTGCCTGGGCTCAGCATAGATCCCATCCTTGGGCACTAGTCACTCCAGGGAAGACCTGCCCAACTTGGCCCCAGGTTCTGGCCATCTGGCAGGATCCCCTCCACCCCCACCAGGAAGGCTCCCCTTCTCCAAGACCCCCGGTAGACCCTGCAATCTCCACACCCTGCCCCCACGCCCATCCGCCCGAGACCCCAGCCACTTCCTGAGACTTAGAGACTGGCCCCCAGCTCCCATCCTGCCCTGGACATCCCAACTGGATAAGAGCTCCCATCCTGCCCCAGAGATCCCATCTGGACAAGAGTTCCCATCCTGCCCCGGAGCTCCCATCTAGACAAGAGAGAGAAGCTTCCTGAATCTGTCAGCTCTGTCTGGACCAAGTGCACTGATAAGACCAAGAACGAATCCACAAGGAGATGGGCAGAGGTCAAGGCAGAAGTATATACAACAAAATGAAGAGCAATACAGCATCACCAGAACCTAGCCCTCCTCCAACATCTAGACCTGAACATCAAAAAATGGAAGAAGCAGAAGAAACCAGCCTTATGAATAACATCATGAAGAAAGTAGAGGCTTATATAGAAGGAATCACAAATGAAATTGAGGAAAAGACAAACAAAAAATGGGAAGAACACTATAAAAAACTAGAGGAAAGGACAAATAAAGCAGAAGAAAACAATAAAGTCCTGGAAGAAAACAAAAAAGCCCTGAAAGAAAATCATGAAAAAGCAATGAAACACATGAAGGAAACAGTCCAAGACCTGAAAAGGGAATTAGAAAAAATGAAGAAGACACAAACAGAGGGAATTCTGGAAATAGAAAATTTGAGTAAACGAACGGGAATTTCAGATGCAAGTATAACCAACAGAATGCAAGAGATGGAAGAGAGGATCTCTGGCATTGAAGATATGGTAGAAGAAATAGATTCATCAAAGAAAACACTAAAGCCACCAAAGTCATGACCCAAAATGTCCAAGAAATTTAAGACACCATGAAAAGACCAAACCGACGAATAATAGGGATAGAGGAAGGAGAAGAATACCAACTCAAAGGCACAGAAAATATATTCAACAAGATCATAGAAGAAAACTTTCCCAACTTAAAGAAAGAAATGCCTATGAAGATACAAGAAGCCTACAGAACACCAAACAGACCAGACCCCTAAAAAAAGTCCCCTCGCCACCTAATAATTAAACAACTAAACATACAGAATAAAGAAAGAATATTAAGAGCAGCAAAGGAAAAAGGCCAAGTGACTTATAAAGGCAAACCCATCAGAATAACACCCGATTTCTCAATGGAGACTTTGAAAGCCAGAAGGACATGGACAGATGTAATGCAGACACTAAGAGACCATGGATGCCAGCCTAGACTAATATAACCAGCAAAACTTTCAATCATCATAGATGGAGTGAACAAGACATTCCAAGACAAAATCAGATTTAAACAATACTTATCCACAAACCCAGCCCTACAGAAAGCACTAGAAGGAAAATTCCAACCTAAGGAAGTCAGATACACCCTCGAAAACACAGGCAATAGATAATGCCACAGCAGTAAACCCCAAAGAAGAGAAGTACACACACACTACCACCAAAAAAGAACAGGAATGAACAATCACTGGCCATTAATATCCCTTAATATCAATGGACTTAATTCACCTATAAAAAGACACAGGCTTACAGAATGGATACGAAAGCAGGACCCATCTTTCTGCTGCATACAAGAAACACACCTCAAATTCAAAGATAGACACTATCTAAGAATAAAAGGCTGGGAAACAACTTTCCAATCAAATGGTCTTAAGAAACAAGCAGGTGTAGTCATCCTAATATCCAGCAAAATAGACTTCAAACTAAAATCAATCAAAAGAGATCAAGAAGGGCATTACATACTCATCACAGGAAAGATCCACCAAGATGAAGTTTCAATTCTGAACATTTATGCCCCAAACACAAGGGCACCCACATATGAAAAAGAAACATTACTAAAGCTTAAACCACATATAAAACCCACATGTTAATAGTGGGAGACTTCAACACCCCACTTTCACCACTGGACAGATCTCCCAAATTGAAACTTAACAGAGAAATAAAGGACTTATCTGATGTTATGACTCAAATGGACTTAATCGATATATACAGAACATTCCATCCTAACAAAAAAGAATATACCTTCTTCTCAGCACCCCATGGAACCTTCTCTAAAATCAACCACATATTTGGCCACAAAGCAAATTTCAACAGATACAAAACAATTGGAATAACCTCCTGGTTTAAAGACCACCATGGTTTAAAGTTAGATTTCAACATCAACAAAAACTACAGAAAACCTACAATCTCATGGCAACTGAATAATGCTCACATGAATCACCAACGGGTTACAGAAGAAATAAAGAAAGAAATTAAAAACTTCCTAGAGATCAACGAAAATGAAGACACCACATACCCAAACTTTTGGGACACTATGAAAGCAGTGCTAAGAGGAAAATTCATAGCACTAAATGCTCACATAAAGAAATTGGAGAAATCTCACACTAGTGACTTAACAGCACACCTGAAAGCTCTAGAACAAGAAGAAGCAAAGTCTCCCAGGAAGAATAGACACCAGGAAACTATCAAAGTGAGAGCTGAAATCAATAAAATAGAAACAAAGAGAACAATACATAAAATTAATGAAACAAAGAGTTGGTTCTTTGAGAAAAGCAACAAGATAGACCAGTCCTTATCCAAACTAACCAAAAGACAGAGAGAGAGCATCCAAATCAACAAAATCAGAAATGAAAAGGGGGACATAACAACAGACATTGAGGAAATCCAGAGAATCATCAGGTCATACTTCAAAAACCGATATTCCACAAAACTGGAAAATCTAAAAGAAATGGATAATTTTCTGGATAGGTACCACATACCTAAGTTAAATCAAGACCAGATAAACTATTTAAATAGTCTAATAACCCCTAAGGAAATAGAAATAGTCATTAAAAGTCTCCCAACCAAAAAAAGCCCAGGACCAGATGGTTTCAGCACAGAATTCTACCAGATCTTCAAAGAAGAGTTAATACCAATACTCTTTGAATTGTTCCACACAATAGAAACAGAAGGAACATTACCAAACTCCTTCTATGAGGCTACAATTACCCTGATTCCTAAACCAAACAAGGATACAACAAAGAAAGAGAACTGCAGACCGATTTCCCTCATGAACATTGATGCAAAAATACTCAATAAGCCAGGCGGTGGTGGCGCACGCCTTTAATCCCAGCACTCGGGAGGCAGAGCCAGGCGGATCTCTGTGAGTTCGAGGCCAGCCTGGACTACCAAGTGAGTTCCAGGAAAGGCGCAAAGCTACACAGAGAAACCCTGTCTCGAAAAACCAAAAAAAAAAAAAAAAATACTCAATAAAATACTGGCAAACAGACTCCAAGAACACATCAAAACAATTATCCACCATGGTCAAGTAGGCTTCATCCCAGGGATGAAGGGTGGTTCAACATACGAAAGTCCGTCAATGTAATACACCATATAAACAAACTCAAAGAAAAAAACACATGAACATCTCACTAGACGCAGAAAAGGCATTTGACAAAATCCAACACCCCTTCATGATAAAGGTCTTGGAGCGATCAGGAATACAGGGAATGTACCTAAACATAATAAAGGCAATTTACAGCAAGCCAACAGCCAACATCAAATTAAATGGAGAGAAACTCAAACGATTCCACTAAAATCAGGAACGAGGCAAGGCTGTCCGCTCTCCCCATACTTATTCAATATAGTACTTGAAGTTCTAGCCAGAGCAATAAGACAACATAAGGAGATTAAGGGGATACAAATTGGAAAGGAAGAAGTCAAGCTTTCCCTATTTGCAGATGACATGATAGTATACTTGAGTGACCCCAAAGATTCAACCAAGGAACTGATATAGCTTATAAACACCTTCAGCAACATAGCAGGATACAAGATCAACTCAAAAAAATCAGT